AACGCTGTTCTTCTGTTTATTCCCCCCCCCCTCTGCTAATCTCAGCCTGGTGTCAGTCTGTTGTTGAAAGAAACCTTGAGGTGTGATTACAGGTAAATGACGTGAGTGGTTTAATCTACTGTTGCGTTATTGTCAAGGCCTACTGTAGCGAGTCTATTCTGGGCCCCAAATGACACTCTATCCCCCTATACTGCTACCTAGTCTTGAAAACCAGACTCTAGGCAACACAGTGACTAAGGTCTGGTTTCAATTATGGACTTTATTTTTTTTGGCAATAGAGGAACTAAGTCAGTGCCTACGTCAACAACGGGGGGCCGGGGATTCCCGGGGACTCTCCCCCAAACAAATCACAAGGAAGACATGACCAGAACGTCGCGATTCTAAACCCAAAAGTTTGCAGTGGTTTTAGTGAAGGTAGTTGACGCAGACTAGCCACTTTGCGAAATGCACCCATTAAAAAAATAACCTACAAGATCTCCATCTTGCTAGCTACTATTTTAATATTAATATTCAAGCGAATGAAGTGGTGACGAAGAGCCATCATTGAAACCAGACCCAGGTCACAGTGTTGCCTAGGCTACGGGTTTTCAAGACCATCTACTAGACACACACAGTAGAGCTCTGGTCAAAAGTAGTGCACTATTTAATAATAACAATATATGCCATTTAGCAGACCTTTTTATCCAAAGCGACTTAGTCATGTGTGCATACATTTTTACGTATGGGTGGTCCCAGGGAATCGAACCCACTACCCTGGCGTTACATGTGCCATGCTCTACCAACTGAGCTACAGAGGACCTATTATTTGAGGAATAGGGCCATCATCTATAGGGAACAGGGAACCATTTGGGAGGCGCAGTTCAGGTAAGACATGGGTGTGGCCTTGGCCTCCAGCCGATGTGAGATTGCGACGCCCGGATACGCAAGACTATCTATGGACTGTGGACTATATCTGTGGAAAATCTGATTATTAAAGTACCTTGGTGGTTTTATGAAAAGTTACGAGTGATTTGTGACTACACACATGGAATCGTAGTGAGGAGCACCAGTTTATTCATTATGTTGGAATACTCACTTACAAATAGTACATCAACTACTTATAACTAGTTTATGAATGGCTTTATTAATGAATGATTTTGTTGTAGACAGACAAAATCCAGACAGAGACACAGTATATAAACATGTGAATGTGAAACTAAATCATTTAAACTTCAGTAATGAAACAGACAGCTTATAGGGCTCACTGTGTTGTCATTATCATAGTATTGTTTATAATATTATTTAATATTTAATTTAATATTAAATTAATTAATTTAATGTAATATTATTTTGTTTATTTCATTCATCTGCTGTGTTATTATTGTTGCTGTCCAATAAAAACAAATTCTGACAGGATTCAACACAAAGTCAAACAACACTTTACAAAAAATGTTTACTGAAAAAAAAAAGGGGGGTTGTGGCGCAGACAAAACAACTGAGCTGGAAGTGGCAAAACATACTGTTGTCAAAACCAGAGGACGCACCGTGGATCATTAAACACTATCAACTATTAACATCTTGAAAACTCATCTAAACATCTTTTACATCATGTAAATATCTACGAGGATTACTAAAACAACAATATTCCCAACCTCCATTTAGATAGTTGTAAATAAAGTGTTTCTAATCACCAGTACGTAAAAGACAACAGAGGGGAAACAATACAGCAGCGATGCAGGAAAACCTGTTATTTTCTCAGCTGGAAACAAACATGCTCTTTCTTTGTGTCCAGGGCTCTAAATCTAAAACCTTAAATTAACTAAAAACGAAGAAACAAGCTGATTCAGCCATAATCAGTCTTATCTTAACTCTTCTAACTCTTAACCACCTCTTCATCCCGGCAGAGAACATCCTCTCATCTGTTGTTCTCCTTTTTACTCTGTTTTTAACTATGTTGAGAAGGAAGTAGTTTGTGGACTGGACGGTACGGGACGGACGGACGGACGGACGGCCGACCGACAGATCAGACCAGCCCAGACCAGACAGGGACAGTACGACAGACAGACGACAGACATGACCGTACAATCCACATTGAGGCATAGTTCAGAGGAAGATGTTTCTCTACATGTCTGATCTACTATACATGTCTGATCTCTACATGTCTGATCTACTATACATGTCTGATCTACTATACATGTCTGATCTCTACATGTCTGATCTACTATACATGTCTGATCTACTATACATGTCTGATCTACTATACATGTCTGATCTACTATACATGTCTGATCTACTATACATGTCTGATCTACTATACATGTCTGATCTACTATACATGTCTGATCTACTACATGTCTGATCTACTATACATGTCTGATCTCTACATGTCTGATCTACTATACATGTCTGATCTACTATACATGTCTGATCTACTATACATGTCTGATCTCTACATGTCTGATCTACTATACATGTCTGATCTACTACATGTCTGATCTACTATACATGTCTGATCTACTCTACATGTCTGATCTACTATTACATGTCTGATTCCACATGTCTGATCTACTATACATGTCTGATCTACTATACAGTCTGATCTCTACATGTCTGATCTACTATACTGTTCTGATCTCTACATGTCTGATCTACTATACATGTCTGATCTACTTACATGTCTGATCTCTACATGTCTGATCTTACTCTATACATGTCTGATCTACTACATGTCTGATCTACTATACATGTCTGATCTCTACATGTCTGATCTACTATACATGTCTGATCTACTAGTCTACACTTGTCTGATCTACTATACATGTCTGATCTACTATACATGTCTGATCTACTTAATCTACAATGTCTGATCTCTACATGTCTGATCTCTATACATGTTGATCTATATACATGTCTGATCTCATACATGTCTGATTACTACTACATGTCTGATCTACTATACATGTCTGATCTACTATACATGTCTGATCTCTATACATGTCTGATCTACTATACATGTCTGATCTCTACTGATCGCTACATGTCTGATCTACTATACATGTCTGATCTCTACATGTCTGATTCTACATACTAAAATGTCTGATCTGACTCTACATGTCTGATCTACTATACATGTCTGATCTACTATACATGTCTGATCTCCTATACATGTCTGATCTCTATACATGTCTGATTCACTCTAACAGTCTGATTCTCTTACATGTCTGATCTACTATACATGTCTGATCTCTACATGTCTGATCTACTATACATGTCTGATCTACTATACATGTCTGATCTACTATACATGTCTGATCTACTATACATGTCTGATCTCTATACATGTCTGATCTACTATACATGTCTGATCTCTTACATGTCTGATCTCTACATGTCTGATCTCTATACATGTCTGATCTCCTATACATGTCTGATCTACTATACATGTCTGATCTCTACATGTCTGATCTACTATACATGTCTGATCTCTACATGTCTGATCTACTATACATGTCTGATCTACTATACATGTCTGATCTACTATACATGTCTGATCTCACTGTCGCTACTATGTCTGATCTACTATACATGTCTGATCTCTACATGTCTGATCTACATGTCTGATCTCTATACATGTCTGATCTCTACATGTCTGATCTACTATACATGTCTGATCTACATACATGTCTGATCTCTACATGTCTGATCTACTATACAGCTATCCTACATGTCTGATCTACTATACATGTCTGATCTCTACATGTGATCTACATACAGTCTGATCTATACATGTCTGATCTACTCTACATGTCTGATCTACTTACATGTCTGATCTACTATACATGTCGATCTCTTCGTTGATCTACTATACATGTCTGAACGTCTGACTCTAACATGTCTGATCATACTGATCTCACATGTCTGACTCTATACATGTCTGATCTACTATACATGTCTGATCTACTAACATGTCTGATCTACTATACATGTCTGATCTCTACATGTCTGATCTCTTACATGTCTGATCTACTATACATGTCTGATCTACTATACATGTCTGACTTCTGATCTACTTACATGTCTGATCTCTACATGTCTGATCTACTATACATGTCTGATCTACTATACATGTCTGATCTCTACTGATTACATGTCTGATCTCTACATGTCTGATCTACTATACATGTCTGATCTATTACATGTCTGATCTCTACATGTCTGATCTACTATACATGTCTGATTCTATACATGTCTGATCTCTACATGTCTGATCTACTATACATGTCTGATCTACTATACATGTCTGATCTCTACATGTCTGATCTCTACATGTCTGATCTACTATACATGTCTGATCTACTATACATGTCTGATCTACTCTACTCTACACGTTGACACAGTCATTGTTTTAAAATAAGACATCGTGGTTAAGTTTAAAAAAGGACCCAGACACACAGGGGTTTAATGCTGGCTAGAAGTAAGCTGCTGTTAGTGTGAGTGAAGTGTGAGAATGTGTGTGTGAGTGTCTATACATGTGTCATTATGATGTGTGACAGAGGCAGTGATGTGGAGTGTGTGTGTGTGTGTTTGTGTTTGGGCGTGTAGACAGACGTTGAGGAGCAGATCTGTAGACCTGTGGAACAGGGGTAGGCAACTAGATTCAGCCGCGGTGGGCCGGAACATAATTATAATAATTTGTACACTGCAAATTGACCACAACTAAGCCCAAAATGAGATTGTATTTGAAAATAACAATCATTTCATACCTTGATTACATTGAGACACGATCACTTCTCTTTTGTTATTTGTGGGAATACTTGGTGAACACAATTCCTAAATGAAACTCATTTTTAGCAGAATTCCTGGTGATATTATTCTTTTTGGATCAAAAATAAAAAAATTAAATATATTTGGTGGGCCAATGGGCCCACCTGTTGTCCACCCCTGCTGTAGAGGTTAGAGGTCAGAGGTTACTGAGAGGAACCTGATGCCCCCTGACCTCCCTGCCCCTGTGAACCCTGACCTTGTTGACCCTGCCCCTGGGCGGCATAGTCCCCATACTGTCCGTAATACTGGTTCCACTGAGACTGGTTCTGGTAGTACTGCTGCCACTGCTGGGCATACTGCAAAAGACAGAGAGAAAGAGAGAGAGAGAGAGAGAGAGAGAGGGAATACAGTGATTAAATACCCTATCCAGCTGAAGTTTCTAAAGTGATTTGCAACCCCAAAAGCCTTCTCAGACACCTCATTGAACAAAACGTTACTACTGTCAGGTTTTTACGGGAGCTCAGGTAATGAAAATGTATGCTGTCGGTCACACCAACCAAGAACTGAAAAACTAACTGGATGTGTGATCGAGATCGAAATATATTTATCCAGCCAGTCTTAGTGGGCTGTAACTGGAGGCTGATTCTGGAGACTAGCTGTAGCAGGGTTACCTGAGTTCACCTGAGCCCTGGTTAACTACTATGGTAACAACCCGCTGGTACTGCTGGTTACTATGGTAACAACTCGTCGGTACTGCTGGTTGCTATGGTAACATCCTGATGGTTTCTATGGTAACAACCTGTTGGTTGCTACGGTAACAACCCACCGGCGCCGATTGTTGCTATGGTAACATCCTGCTGGTATTGCTGGTTGCTATGGTAACAACCTGCTGGTACTGCTGGTTGCTATGGTAACTACCTGCTGGTACTGCTGGTTGTAGTTCTGCTGTTGGCTGTAGGTCTGTCCTGCAGCGGCTGGTGTAGTCTCGCTGTAACTCTGAGTTTGGCTGTATCCTGGGTACTGACTGTAGCTGCCGTAGTTGTAACCCTGTTGGTAGTTGCCTTGATTATAGCTGCTGGGGTTGTAGCTCTGGAGGAGAGAAAAGCATGTCCGATTATGAAAACAGACTCCATTACTACTTTTAAAGTATTCACAGGGTCCGACGTTAACCAAAGATCTACTGGCCCGGCCATGGGGTAGTTTATAAATACATTAGGGTCATGCAGGGCCTTGATTGGCATGCTCTCTCTATATATATTCAGATAGTATTAGGCTACATTTGGTTATTATGGTATATACAGTTGAAGTCGGAGGTTTACATACACTTAGGTTGGAGTCATTCAAACTCGTTTTTTTCAACCACTCCACAAATTTCTTGTTAACAAACTATAGTTTTGGCAAGTCGGTTAGGACATCTACTTTGTGCATGACAAGTAATTTTTCCAACAATTGTTTACAGACAGATTATTTCACTTATAATTCACTGTATCACAATTCCAGTGGGTCAGAAGTTTACATACACTAAGTTGACTGTCCCTTTAAACAGCCTGGAAAATTCCAGAACTCCATGGCTTTAGAAGCTTCTAATAGGCTAATGGACATCATTTGAGTCAATTGGAGGTGTACCTGTGGATGTATTTCAAGGCCTACCTTCAAACTCAGTGCCTCTTTGCTTGACATCATGGGAAAATCAAAAGAAATCAGCCAAGACCTCAGTAAAAAAGTATTGGGAGCAATTTCCAAACGCCTGAAGGTACCACGTTCATCTGTACAAACAATAGTACGCAAGTATAAACACCATGGGACCACGCAGCCGTCATACCGTTTAGGAAGGAGACATGTTCTGTCTCCTAGAGATGAACGTACTTTGGTGCGAAAAGTGCAAATCAATCCCAGAACAACAGCAAAGGACCTTGTGAAGATGCTGGAGGAAACCGGTACAAAAGTATCTATATCCACAGTAAAACTAGTCCTATATCGACATAACCTGAAAGGCCGCTCAGCAAGGAAGAAGCCACTGCTCCAAAACCGCCATAAAAAAGCCAGACTACGGTTTGCAACTGCACATGGGGACAAAGATCGTACTTTTTGGAGAAATGTCCTCTGGTCTGATGAAACAAAAATAGAACTGTTTGGCCATAATGACCATCGTTATGTTTGGAGGAAAAAGGGGGATGCTTGCAAGCCAAAGAACACCATCCCAACCGTGAAGCACAGGGGTGGCAGCATCATGCTGTGGGGGTGCTTTGCTACAGGAGGGACTGGTGCACTTCACAAAATAGATGGCATCATGAGGAAGGAAAATTATGTGGATATATTGAAGCAACATCTCAAGACATCAGTCAGGAAGTTAAAGCTTGGTCGCAAATGGGTCTTCCAAATGGACAATGACCCTAAGCATACTTCCAAAGGTGTGGCAAAATGGCTTAAGGACAACAAAGTCAAGGTATTGGAGTGGCCATCACAAAGCCCTGACCTCAATCCTATAGAACATTTGTGAGAAGAACTGAAAAGGCGTGTGCGAGCAAGGAGGCCTACAAACCTGACTCAGTTACACCAGCTCTGTCAGGAGGAATGTGCCAAAATTCACCCAACTTATTGTGGGAAGCTTGTGGAAGGCAACCCGAAACATTTGACCCAAGTTAAACAATTTAAAGGCTATGCTACCAAATACTAATTGAGTGTATGTAAACTTCTGACCCACTGGGAATGTGATGAAAGAAATAAAAGCAGAAATAAATCATTCTCTCTACTATTATTCTGACATTTCACATTCTTAAAATAAAAGTGGTGATCCTAACTGACCTAAAACAGGGAATTATTACTAGGATTAAATGTCAGGAATTGTGAAAAACTGAGTTTAAATGTATTTGGCAAAGGCGTATGTAAACTTCCCCACTTCAACTGTATGTCAAATATTACTCTATCATTTAAAATTGCATTGTATTAATTGCATTCACGTTTGTTTCTAAAGTATGTCATCTCAAAATAGGATGTTGCCCCTTTAAGATAAGTGCTTTTCAAAATATATATAATCTGGCTACAGTAGGCTAGCTAAGACAAATGCTATGTGTATTTTGTAGCTTTCTTTTTGTAGACTATCAACAGTACCTCTGGACAGCATGTGCTATGTGAAGGCATCAACTCATGTACTGCTCGAGAAGTTGTGACTCACGATGAGCGTAGTTGAATGAATGGCCAATCATATTGCTCAAATACAAATAGCATTACTTTTCTGCATGTAGTCTTCAATGGTTTTCAACGACAGACTGCGACAGAGCAGGTAAATGTTGAACTGGAATGCAAAAAATGCGCTGAGAAGCTACAGGCCAGGGTCAGCGGGCCATCGTTCATGTCGGACCCTGATTCATAGCACATTGTGTTAGTGCCAGGAGTTTTTCCTGACTATTTCACCTGACCAGGATAACCTCTAGGTGTTAGTTGATGGGCTATAACTAGGACCTGACCAGGATAACCTCTAGGTGTTAGTTGTGATGGGCTATAACTAGGACCTGACCAGGATAACCTCTAGGTGTTAGTTGATGGGCTATAACTAGGACCTGACCAGGATAACCTCTAGGTGTTAGTTGATGGGCTATAACTAGGACCTGACCAGGATAACCTCTAGGTGTTAGTTGATGGGCTATAACTAGGACCTGACCAGGATAACCTCTAGGTGTTAGTTGATGGGCTATAACTAGGACCTGACCAGGATAACCTCTAGGTGTTAGTTGATGGGCTATAACTAGGACCTGACCAGGATAACCTCTAGGTGTTAGTTGATGGGTTATAACTAGGACCTGACCAGGATAACCTCTAGGTGTTAGTTGATGGGCTATAACTAGGACCTGTCCAGGATAACCTCTAGGTGTTAGTTGATGGGCTATAACTAGGACCTGACCAGGATAACCTCTAGGTGTTAGTTGATGGGCTATAACTAGGACCTGACCAGGATAACCTCTAGGTGTTAGTTGATGGGTTATAACATTTGACATTTTTTTGACATTTTAGTCATTTAGCAGACGCTCTTATCCAGAGTGAATACATATATATATTTTTTTATACTGGCCCCCTGTGGGAAACGAACCCACAACCCTGGCGTTGCAAACGCCATGCTCTATCAACTGAGCTACATCCCTGCCGGCCATTCCCTCCCCTACCCTGGACGACGCTGGGCCAATTGTGCGCCGCCCATGAGTCTCCCGGTCGCGGCCGGCTGCGACAGAGCCTGGATTCGAACCAGGATCTCTAGTGGCACAGCTAGCACTGCGATGCAGTGCCTTAGACCACTGCGCCACTCGGGAGTATAACTATAACTATGGCATGCTCAGGTAAAACTCCTATCCTCTCCATTAATGTGCAGACAGACAGACATACAGAGAGACAGACAGCAGGTATATCCATGGTTACCTGGTTGTATCCCCCCTTGTTGTAGGGCACCGGGCGGTTGTAGCCTCCTGACTGTTGGTTGCGGTTGTACCCTCCCCTAGGGGCCGACCCCCCCTCACGGTAGTTACCGTTCCCACCCCAGCGGTTGCCGTTGTAGCCGCCACGGTTGTTGCCTGAAACACAGCGAGACAGACAGACAGTCTGAATAGCAGGGCCTGGACATGACATCTCTTAGAGCAGGGACTAGCTCACATGGTATATCCCTTTCTCCTCTCCAACATTTCAAAGCAGTGGTGTAAGCACCAACTATCCTAAATCAGTCCCTCCCAGAGTGCACTCTTCAGGGGAGAACTGTGAGCGACTGACCTGGGGAGGAGTCTGCTCCTTCCTTACCCCTTCTGTTTCCGCCTGCGTCTCTGCTCTGGTATCCACCGCCGCCGCGAGGCCCGCCACGGTCCTCATTGCGCTGGTAGCCTCCGCCGTTGCCACGGAACTCTCCCGGCCGGTTGTCATAGCGTTTGTCGGGGGGTGGGCCGGCCTTGCGCCCCTCCTCGTTGTATTCCTTCACCAGCTTGTAAGCCTCGTCCCGCTGCAGCTCCACAAAAACCACCTCCTCCAGGAAGTCACTGGGCTCAGGGAGCAAGAAGTTGGCTGGAAGCCAGGATGGAGAGATGAACACGGAGAGAGATGGAGAGGAGACGGACCGGTCCAGGACGACGGGAGATAGAGATGGTGAGAGCGTGTAAGAGCGAGAGAGAGAGAGAGAGAGGGGGGAGGGGTTGTAGCGAAGGCCAGATCAGCCAACACCACCGGGAGACAAAATGAAAAGATGAATTAACATCACATAATGATGAGGGGAATCAAAGACAATAGAAAGAACAGGGAGGAGATGGAGGGAGGGAGGGAGGCTGAGTTGGCGGAGGGTATGCAGTGTAGGCTGAAGGTATGCTGTGTAGGCTGAGGGTATGCTGTGTAGGTTGAAGATAGGCTGAGGGTAGGAGGGTTCTGTACGTAGGCTGAGGGTAGGAGGATTCTGTAAGCTGAGGGTAGGAGGGTTCTGTATGTAGGCTGAGGGGAGAAGGGTTCTGTATGTAGGTTGAGGGTAGGAGGGTTCTGTATGTAGGCTGAGGGTAGGAGGGTACTGTATGTAGGCTGAGGGTAGGAGGGTTCTGTATGTAGGCTGAGGGTAGGAGGGTTCTGTATGTAGGCTGAGGGTAGGAGGGTTCTGTATGTAGGCTGAGGGTAGGAGGGTTCTGTATGTAGGCTGAGGGTAGGAGGGTACTGTATGTAGGCTGAGGGTATCAGGGTTCTGTAGGCTGAGGGTAGGAGGGTTCTGTATGTAGGCTGAGGGTAGGAGGGTACTATATGTAGGCTGAGGGTAGGAGGGTTCCGTAGGCTGAGGGCAGGAGGGTATTTTATGTAGGCTGAGGGTAGGAGGGCTCTGTAGGCTGAGGGTAGGAGGATTCTGTAGGCTGAGGGTAGGAGGGTACTGTATGTAGGCTGAGGGTAGGAGGGTTCTGTATGTAGGCTGAGGGTAGTAGGATTCTGTAGGCTGAGGGTAGGAGGGTTCTGTATGTAGGCTGAGGGTAGGAGGGTGCTGTAGGCTGAGGGTAGGAGGATTCTGTAGGCTGAGGGTAGGAGGGTACTGTAGGCTGAGGGTAGGAGGATTCTGTATGTAGGCTGAGGGTAGGAGGGTTCTGTAGGCTGAGGGTAGGAGGATTCTGTAGGCTGAGGGTAGGAGGGTTCTGTATGTAGGCTGAGGGTAGGAGGGTTCTGTATGTAGGCTGAGGGTAGGAGGGTTCTGTATGTAGGCTGAGGGTAGGAGGGTTCTGTATGTAGGCTGAGGGTATCAGGGTTCTGTAGGCTGAGGGTAGGAGGGTTCTGTATGTAGGCTGAGGGTAGGAGGATTCTGTAGGCTGAGCGTAGGAGGGTTCTGTATGTAGGCTGAGGGTAGTAGGATTCTGTAGGCTGAGGGTAGGAGGGTTCTGTAGGCTGAGGGTAGGAGGATTATGTAGGCTGAGGGTAGGAGGGTACTGTATGTAGGCTGAGGGTAGGAGGGTTCTGTATGTAGGCTGAGGGTAGTAGGATTCTGTAGGCTGAGGGTAGGAGGGTTCTGTATGTAGGCTGAGGGTAGGAGGGTGCTGTAGGCTGAGGGTAGAAGGATTCTGTAGGCTGAGGGTAGGAGGGTACTGTAGGCTGAGGGTAGGAGGATTCTGTATGTAGGTTGAGGGTAGGAGGGTTCTGTAGGCTGAGGGTAGGAGGATTCTGTAGGCTGAGGGTAGGAGGGTTCAGTATGTAGGCTGAGGGTATCAGGGTTCTGTAGGCTGAGGGTAGGAGGGTTCTGTATGTAGGCTGAGGGTAGAAGGGTTCTGTAGGCTGAGGGTAGTAGGATTATGTAGGCTGAGGGTAGGAGGGTTCTGTATGTAGGCTGAGGGTAGGAGGGTTCTGTATGTAGGCTGAGGGTAGGAGGGTTCTGTATGTAGGTTGAGGGTAGGAGGGTTCTGTATGTAGGTTGAGGGTAGGAGGGTTCTGTATGTAGGCTGAGGGTAGGAGGGTTCTGTATGTAGGCTGAGGGTAGGAGGGTTCTGTATGTAGGTTGAGGGTAGGAGGGTTCTGTATGTAGGTTGAGGGTAGGAGGGTTCTGTATGTAGGCTGAGGGTAGGAGGGTACTGTATGTAGGCTGAGGGTAGAAGGGTTCTGTAGGCTGAGGGTAGGAGGGTTCTGTATGTAGGCTGAGGGTAGGATGGTTCTGTATGTAGGCTGAGGGGAGAAGGGTTCTGTATGTAGGCTGAGGGTAGGAGGGTTCTGTATGTAGGCTGAGGGTAGGAGGGTTCTGTATGTAGGCTGAGGGGAGAAGGGTTCTGTATGTAGGCTGAGGGTAGGAGGGTTCTGTATGTAGGCTGAGGGTAGGAGGGTTCTGTATGTATGTTGAGGGTAGGAGGGTTCTGTATGTAGGTTGAGGGTAGGAGGGTTCTGTATGTAGGTTGAGGGTAGGAGGGTTCTGTATGTAGGCTGAGGGTAGGAGGGTTCTGTATGTAGGCTGAGGGTAGGAGGGTTCTGTATGTAGGTTGAGGGTAGGAGGGTTCTGTATGTAGGTTGAGGGTAGGAGGGTTCTGTATGTAGGCTGAGGGTAGGAGGGTACTGTATGTAGGCTGAGGGTAGAAGGGTTCTGTAGGCTGAGGGTAGGAGGGTTCTGTATGTAGGCTGAGGGTAGGATGGTTCTGTATGTAGGCTGAGGGGAGAAGGGTTCTGTATGTAGGCTGAGGGGAGAAGGGTTCTGTATGTAGGCTGAGGGGAGAAGGGTTCTGTATGTAGGCTGAGGGGAAAAGGGTTCCGTAGGTCGAGGGTAGGAGGGTACTGTATGTAGGCTGAGGGTAGGAGGGTTCTGTATGTATGTTGAGGGTAGGAGGGTTCTGTATGTAGGTTGAGGGTAGGAGGGTTCTGTATGTAGGCTGAGGGTAGGAGGGTTCTGTATGTAGGTTGAGGGTAGGAGGGTTCTGTATGTAGGCTGAGGGTAGGAGGGTACTGTATGTAGGCTGAGGGGAGAAGGGTTCTGTATGTAGGCTGAGGGCAGAAGGGTTCTGTATGTAGGTTGAGGGTAGGAGGGTTCTGTATGTAGGTTGAGGGTAGGAGGGTTCTGTATGTAGGCTGAGGGTAGGAGGGTTCTGTATGTAGGCTGAGGGTAGAAGGGTTCTGTAGGCTGAGGGTAGGAGGGTTCTGTATGTAGGCTGAGGGTAGGATGGTTCTGTATGTAGGTTGAGGGTAGGAGGGTTCTGTATGTAGGCTGAGGGTAGGAGGGTTCTGTATGTAGGCTGAGGGGAGAATGGTTCTGTATGTAGGCAGAGGGGAGAAGGGTTCTGTATGTAGGCTGAGGGCAGAAGGGTTCTGTATGTAGGCTGAGGGGAGAAGGGTTCTGTATGTAGGCTGAGGGTTCTGTAGGCTGAGTGTTTGGCTACTGCAGAGTCAGAACAAATTAAACCCCCAGAGAACCTGGAGGAAACATTTGTTCAAGCAAACACAGAGGAGATAGGGAAGAGGGATGGAGGTGGAGAGGAAAAGCCACTGCAAACCAAGTGCTGCCTTAACACTGCTTCTGTAGGCTGAGGGTAGGAGGGTTCTGTATGTAGGCTGAGGGTAGGAGGGTTCTGTATGTAGGCTGAGGGTAGGAGGGTTCTGTATGTAGGCTGAGGGGAGAAGGGTTCTGTATGTAGGCTGAGGGTAGGAGGGTTCTGTATGTAGGTTGAGGGTAGGAGGGTTCTGTATGTAGGCTGAGGGTAGGAGGGTTCTGTATGTAGGCTGAGGGTAGGAGTGTTCTGTATGTAGGCTGAGGGTAGGAGGGTTCTGTATTTAGGCTGAGGGTAGGAGGGTTCTGTATGTAGGCTGAGGGTAGGAGGGTTCTGTATGTAGGCTGAGGGTAGGAGGGTTCTGTATGTAGGCTGAGGGTAGGAGGGTTCTGTACGTAGGCTGAGGGTTCTGTGTATAGGCTGAGGGTAGGAGGGTTCTGTAATTAGGCTGAGGGTAGGAGGGTTCTGTATGTAGGCTGAGGGGAGAAGGGTTCTGTATGTAGGCTGAGGGTAGGAGGGTTCTGTATGTAGGCTGAGGGTAGGAGGGTTCTGTATGTAGGCTGAGGGTTCTGGTGTATAGGCTGAGGGGTTAGGAGGGTTCTGTATTTAGGTGATGGTAGGAGGGTTCGTATGTAGGCTGAGGGTAGGAGGGTTCTGTACGTAGGCTGAGGGTTCTGTGTATAGGCTGAGGGTAGGAGGGTTCTGTATTTAGGCTGAGGGTAGGAGGGTTCTGTATGTAGGCTGAGGGTAGGAGGGTTCTGTATTTAGGCTGAGGGTAGGAGGGTTCTGTATGTAGGCTGAGGGTAGGAGGGTTCTGTATGTAGGCTGAGGGTAGGAGGGTTCTGTATTAGGCTGAGGGTTAGGAGGGTTCTGTATGTAGGCTGAGGGTAGGAGGGTTCTGTACGTAGGCTGAGGGTTCTGTGTATAGGCTGAGGGTAGGATGGGTTCTGATATGTAGGCTGAAGGTAGGAGGGTTCTGTATGTAGGCTGAGGGTAGGAGGGTTCTGTAGTAGGCTGAGGGTTCTGTATGTAGCTGAGGGTAGGAGGGTTCTGTATGTAGGCTGAGGGTGGAGGGTTCTGTTGTAGGCGAGGGTAGAGGGTTCTGTATGTAAGCTTCAGAACTCCTGACACATGCGGTCTAACAGAAGTCAGTTCACCAACAGCCAATAGCTTGTCAACAGCCTCAGAGAGGTCCACTACTTTTACAGTAGTTAGTTACTTAAACTTGAGCACGACTCACTTGCAGTGCAACAGGTCAGCGGGGAGGGTCATGGGTAGGGGCACAGGGGGAGGGAGGCATAGGGGACAGGGGCAGGGAGGCTGGACAAGGGCAGGGTAGCAGGGCAGGGTTAGGGACAGGGTCGGAGGGAGGCAGGGGCAGGGAGGGGCAGGGGTAGGGGGACAGGGGGCAGGGGTAGGGACAGGGGTAGGGGGACAGGGGGCAGGGAGGGAGGCAGGGGTGGGAGGGGGACAGGGGGCAGGGGTAGGGGGACAGGGCGGGGTAGGGGAAGGGGGGGACAGGGGTAGGGGGACAGGGGCAGGGAGGGAGGCAGGGGCAGGGGTAGGGGCAGGGGCAGGGGTAGGGGGACAGGGGGCAGGGGTGGGGCAGGGGCAGGGAGGAGGCAGGGCAGGAGCGGAGGGTAGGGGGGGGCAGGGGCAGGGGTCAGGGGGACAGGGGGCAGGGGTAGGGGGACAGGGGGCAGGGGTAGGGGGACAGGGGGCAGGGAAGGAGGCAGGGGCAGGGGTAGGAGGGAGGCAGGGGCAGGGGTAGGGGGACAGGGGGCAGGGGTAGGGGGACAAGGGGCAGGGAGGGAGGCAGGGGCAGGGGTAGGGAGGCAGGGGCAGGGGTAGGGGGACAGGGGTAGGGAGGCAGGGGCAGGGGTAGGGGGACAGGGGGCAGGGAGGGAGGCAGGGGCAGGGAGGGCATCTTCCAACATTTGATTTTAGAGACAAAAACATAGAAAAAGTAAAGTAGATCTGTTGTTTTTGTTTTATTGGTTGGTTTTGTTTCCACATGGTTGTTCCTACCTTTCATTTCTAACACAGCCTGATCTGGCACATCCTTCCCCTGTTCATCAGTTTGTCTTAACGTTCTCGCTTTAAAGTCCTCCTCCGTGGGACATATTACAATAGCCTTGCGCTGAAACCCTTCAAAAGGACGCATTTTTCGTCTCTGGGCTGATCCATATACATTTGTCTAGCAATGGTGACACAAGGAAAGAGGTAGAAGGCTGTTTGTTATTGTTTACTTGTTGTTGTTTACTTGTTGTGTTATTTGGCGGCTTTGTTTTCCTCTGGCAGGGAAGCCGGGAACAGAACCCTGTAATAATGAAGGTAGAGAGTTGTTTTACGCTGGTTGGTTTTAGGTTTTTACTCTGCGGGTTGGTTAACTAGCGATGGTGGTCACGCTCTCCCCACGCCACAGACCTACCTTCCCAGACTGCACCTCTCCACGTCTTCCTTTAGGTACCTGTTACTGTCACAGAGAGAAGGGGACCCTTTAAACAACACCACTGACTAGCCTGGCTGGTATAAGGTGCACTGTATCTTTAAAGATTCTTTAAAGATACCGTTTCTTGAGATTTGGTTAAAGGCATGGCGTGCGGACGATACCGTCGATCATGAATGCGTACATTCACTCTAAGTTCTCATCCATAGAAGGACAACTACAAGTGCTACTAAAACGACTACAGTTCTAAATGAGTTTCCTCCTTAACTATATGTCCTCAAACATTCCTCCCCACGATTCAGTTATCTGGTTGATTCCCAATGCTATCTATAGTACCTGAACAATGACTGGGCTCTGTACATTAAACTGACACTAGTGGAAATCTGAACCTACACCTGCCAGGGTCCCCTGACTTACCTGTACCTACCTGATTGTCATGGCGTCCTCCTGTCCCATAGACACACACAGATACAACCTACCTGTTGTTACTCACAGTTTCCATGGTTACCAGCAGACACCTTCTGTTAGCCTGACTTACCGTCAGTAACCACAGCGACAACATCTCTCTGGAAACTTCAAAATGGTTAGTCTCCTCACCTTTTCACTTACCTTCAGGGGTTAATTCATTTAACAACAGAAAACACAGTCTAGCTGTTTTATTGTCAAGGCTATCAACAGTCGTCTGTCTTGTTATAGTTACTGTAGCAACAGAAGTTGTTTGTATTTACTCACCAGGCAGAGTTCTACTGGACTACTGATACATAGATACTCATACAATACTGTAGTAATAATACGGTAAAATACTGTAGTAATAATACGGTAAAATACTGTAAAACAACAACAACAGGTCGTAACTGAAATAAGACTGAGACGGATGGAAGATAACATTAAGGACTTATTAAACAGTTTTCCTTATAAAATACAAAGACAGTATAAATGCCAACAAGAGGGTCAACAACCATAGTTTCTTCTACTCTATCATCAACATGACCTGCAAGATAAATAAATAGTTCATTAGAGAGAGAGAGAGAGAGAGAGAGAGAGAGGAGAGAGAGAGAGAGAGAGAGAGAGAGAGAAGAGAGAGGAGGTGAGAGGTAGGAGAGAGATGAGAGAGAGTGAGAGAGAGGAGGAGAGAGAGAGAGAGAGAGAAGGAGAGAGGGGGAGAGAGAGAAGAGAGGGGAGGAGGGGAAGAGAGGGAGCAGGAGTGAGAAGAGAAGGAGGGAGGGAGAGAGGAGAGAGAGGGAAGAGAGAGAGAGGAGGACGAGAGAGTGAGAGGAGGAATGGCGAGGAGAGAGAGAAGATGAGAGAGAGGGGGACGAGAGAAGAGAGAGGAGAGAAGAGAGAGGAAGAGAGAGTGAGGGGAGAGACGAGGAGAGAGAGGAGAGAAGGGAGGGAGAGGGAGAGGAGAGAGAAGAGAGAGGAGGAGAGGGGGATAGAGGCGAGCAGAGCGATAGAAGAACGGAAGCAGAAAGTAGTCAAGAGGAAGCAGTACGACCAGTACCTGGCCAGGAATGTAGTTGGGCAGTCTCTGAGTTGCGCGATTCATGGATGAGGCGGTTGAGACACTGAGTGGCCTGTTGGATCAGAACGTCCCAACGACCAGCGTAGTTCTTCTGACGACGCAGACCCATCACCTGGTACACAGGACACACCTCTTATATGGGATCTATTAGATCATTAGATACAAGCAGCAGTGACATACCTAATTCAGCTTCCAGTTGTCTAAATTGAAGATTGTGACTTAGTTGAATCAGGTGTGTGGCCCACCTCTGACCTCAGAGATCTTAAAAGGTTATAACAGGTTATAACAGGTTATATAGCAGGTTATGAAGGGGTTTAAAGGCTACCTTCATCTTCTCCATGATAGCGTTAGTTCCCAGGATGTTGTATTTCTTCTCTGGGTGACTCTCGGCATGTTTTGAGGCCCAGGTGGACTTGCCACAGGCTGGCAGACCCACCATCATGAGGATCTAGACATAGACAGGGAGGAAAATTAAGCTAGCCCGCTACTAGTACTTAACTAGCCCGCTACTAGTACTTAACTAGCCCGCTACTAGTACTTAACTAGCCCGCGACTAGTACTTAACTAGCCCGCTACTAGTACTTAACTAGCCCGCTACTAGTACTTAACTAGCCCGCTACTAGTACTTAACTAGCCCGCTACTAGTACTTAACTAGCCCGCTACTATACTTTTCAGACCGGACTAGTAGAAAATGTGCTTAACTAGCCCGTAGTGATGGGGGGGGGGGGGTTCGATACTGTAACATATCGTGATATTATTTTGGACATTTTGGATATTATATCGATACTTTGACTTTTTTAATTTAAGTTTTTTAATTTAAGTTTTTTAATTAATATTTTTGGCTGTTCCTGTGCTAAACCTCTGGTATTTTTCATCCTATAGCTGGTTCTCTATCTTTCTTTTTTTAAACAGTGAGTCAGTCAACATGTTATCAGCACTTTTATTTCCATGACTGATCAAAACTCATTTTCTCATGCTCTCTCTTGTCTCTCTGCAGCAGACATATACATTATTGTGATTTCGCTAAAACATTTTAGTCATTCAGCAGATCCAGAGCGATTTATAGGAGCAATTAGGGTTAAGTGCCTTGCTCAAGGGCACATCGACAGATTTTTCACCTAGTCGGCTCGGGGATTAGAACCAGCGACCTTTCGGTGACTGGCCCAACCTCTTAACGGCTAGGCTACCTACCGCCTCATGTAGTGAGCAATATGTTTGGAACATCAAATCGCAGTATCGAATCGCAAAACATAGAGAATTGTGAGAATTGCAATACAAATCGTATCGGCACCTAAGTATCGTGACAATATCATATTGTGACAAAGAAGTTGTACTTTTGGAGGATTTGAGGGCCCATGCCAAATCTATTCAACCTCCTGAGGGGAAAGAGGCGCTGTCGTGCCTTCTTCACGACTGTGCGGGTGTGTGGACCATTTTAAGTCCTTAATGATTTGGACACCGAGGAACTGGAAGCTCTCGACCCGCTCCACTGCAGACCCGTCGATGTGGATCGTTTCCTGTAGTCCCACGATCAGCTCCTTGGTCTTACTGACGTTGAGGGAGAGGTTGTTGTCCCCGTACCACACTGCCAGGTCACTGACCTCCTCTCTGTAGGCTCATCGTTGTCGGTGATCAGGCCTACTACCGTTGTGTCATCAGCAAACTTGAAGATGGTGTTGGAGTAGTGCGCGGCCACGCAGTCGTGGGTGAACAGGGAGTACAGGAGGGGACTAAGCAAACCCCCTTGTGGGGCCCCCGTGTTGAGGGTCAGCGTGACGCAGGTGATGTTGCCTACCCTCACCACCTGGGGTCGGCCCGTCAGGAAGTCCAGGATCCAGTTGCAGAGGGAGGATTTTTAGTCCCAGGGTCCTGAGCTTGGGGATGAGCTTGGAGGGGACTATGGTGTTGAACGCTGAGCTGTAGTCAATGAACAGCATTCTCACATAGGTACAGTGCCTTGCAAAAGTATTCATCCCCCTTGGCGTTTTTCCTATTTTGTTGCATTACAACCTGTAATTAATTTTTTTTTTTTTTGGGATTTCATGTAATGGACATACACAAAACAGTCCAAATTGGAGCACCATTAAATCCATTATAAAATAAAATAAATATTATGGCACCACAACAAACCTGCCAAGAGAGGGCCGCCCACCAAAACTCACGGACCAGGCAAGGAGGGCATTAATCAGAGAGGCAACAAAGAGACCAAAGATAACCCTGAAGGAGCTGCAAAGCTCCACAGCGGAGATTGGAGTATCTGTCCATATGACCACTTTCAGCCGTACACTCCACAGAGCTGGGCTTTACGGAAGAGTGGCCAGAAAAAAGCCATTACTTAAAGAAAAAAATAAGCAAACATGTTTGGTGTTCGCCAAAAGGCATGTGGGAGACTCCCCAAACATATGGAAGAAGATACTCTGGTCAGATGAGACAAAAATTGACCTTTTTGGCCATTAAGGAAAACGCCATGTCTGGCGCAAACCCAACACCTCTCATTACCCCGAGAACACCATCCCCACAGTGAAGCATGGTGGTGGCAGCATCATGCTGTGGGGATGTTTTTCATCGGCAGGGACTGGGAAACTGGTCAGAATTGAAGGAATGATGGATGGCGCTAAATACAGGGAAATTCTTGAGGGAAACCTGTTTCAGTCTTCCAGAGTTTTTGAGACTGGGACGGAGGTTCACCTTCCAGCAGAACAATGACCCTAAGCATTCTGCTAAAGCAACACTCAAGTGGTTTAAGGGGAAACATTTAAATGTCTTGGAATGGCCTAGTCAAAGCCCAGACCTCAATCCAATTGAGAATCTGTGGTATGACTTAAAGATTGCTGTACACCAGCGGAACCCATCCAACTTGAAGGAGCTGGAGCAGTTTTGCCTTGAAGAATGGCCATAAATCCCAGTGGCTAGATGTGCCAAGCTTATAGAGACATACCCCAAGAGACTTGCAGCTGTAATTACTTCAAAAGGTGGCTCTACAAAGTATTGACTTTGGGGGGGTGAATAGTTATGCACGCTCAAGTTTTCTGTTGTTTTTTTTGTCTTATTTCTTGTTTGTTTCACAATAAAAATATTTTGCATCTTCAAAGTATTAGGCATGTTGTGTAAATGAAATGATACACCCCCCCCAAAAAAATCAATTTTAATTCCAGGTTGTAAGGCAACAAAATAGGAAAAATGCCAAGGGGGGGGGGGGGGGGGTGAATACTTTCGCAAGCCACTGTATTCCTCTTATCTAGCTGGGTGAGGGCAGTGCGAAGTGCAATTGAGATTGCGTCGTCTATGGATCTGTTAGAGTGGCTCTGATGAGTTGATGATCCCCGCTTTAGCGTGTCTGGGATGATGGAGTTGATGTGTGCCATAACCAGCCTTTCAAAGCACTTCATGATTACAGCTGTGAGTGCTACAGGGCGGTAGTCATTGTGGCATGAAGCCTTAGAGTTTTTGGGAACAGGAATGATGGTGGTCGTCTTAAAACGTGGGGATTACAGACTGGGAGAGGTTCAAAATGCTGTTCTGCTCTGAGAATGTAGTGGGCATCTGATATGTGTATGTACAGTATATTACATATACATCACATTAGACTCGTAATAAGGCTAAGTAATTAGCTTGTGCCATGGCTCATGGGAGAGGGAGGGAAAGCGTGTAGGTATCTCACCACAGGAACATAAGAGAAAAAAACAATGAATCTAAGAGCTTTTATAAGCATCTGAGTTGTTTTGGATTCAAAAACTGAGTTGGTGACCAATTGTATTACTGTAAAGTGAACCTCCAATCAGACCTACATAATAAAATCATAACAGAACCTCTGCTTCTCAGAGGTGTGACAATGGGGGTTGGCAAGACCAACACAGAGAAGGCTGAATTCTTAAGACAACACAGAATAAATTCATCCAGACGATAAGAGGAGTTCCTTCCGGCCTGATTAAAGACCGTACTCACGTTGGCCTCGGCGAACCAGATCACACAGTCTTCTGGGTCGGTGACGGCCCTCACACCCGGCTCGATGTTGTTGTTGTTGTCAAACCGTGCATAAAATGCATTGAGTTCCTCTGGTTAGAGAGGCATCGTTGGGCAGATCACGGCTGGATCTTCCTTTGTGATCTGTAATGGACTGTAGCCCCTGTCACATGCGGCGGGCGGCGGAGCCTGTGTAATATGATTCCACCTTATTCCTATATTGTCCTTTTGCTCATTTGATGACTCTGCTGAGGTCGTAGCGGGACTTCCTGTACTTGATCCTGTCCTCAGCTGTAGCCTCAGAGTTGTCTGCGATAGCCCTGTGTGCGGTAGCCCTGTCCTTTAGCTTAGCGCCAACCTTGGTGTTAATCCAGGGCTTTTGATTGGGGAAGCAGCGAACCTCCACTGTGGGGACAACGTTGCCAATGCATTTCCTAATGAAGCCGGTGACAGAGGTGGTTAGCTCGTCGATGCTATCGGCGTAGTCTCGTATCATATTCTAGTGAGCGCTTGCAAAGTAGTGCTGTAGTGTCATCTCTGATTCTGAGGACCGTTTCTCAACGGAGCACGTCACAGGTACTTCCTGTTTGAGCTTCTGCTTGTAAACAGGAAGCAGGAGTATGGAATTATGATCTGATTTGCCGAACGGGGGACGAGGGAGGGCCTTGTGTGCTTGCTTGTGGGTAGAGTAACAGTGGTGTAGGACTTTATCGCCCCTAGTGGCGAGGGAGACGTGTTGATGGAAGTTGGGCGTCACGTGACTTAATGACGCAGAATTAAAATCGCTGGCAACCAAAAAAGCAGCCTCTGGATGTTTATAGCCTCGTACAGTTCATTAAGGTTTCCTGCTTGTTTATAGCCTCGTACAGTTCGTTAAGGTTTCCTGCTTGTTTATAGCCTCTACAGTTCGTTAAGGTTTCCTGCTTGTTTATAGCCTCGTACAGTTCGTTAAGGTTTCCTGCTTGTTTATAGCCTCGTACAGTTCGTTAAGGTTTCTGCTTGTTTATAGCCTCGTACAGTTCGTTAAGGTTTCCTGCTTGTTCATAGCCTCGTACAGTTCGTTAAGGTTTTCCTGCTTGTTCATAGCCTCGTACAGTTCGTTAAGGTTTCCTGCTTGTTTATAGCCTCGTACAGTTCGTTAAGGTTTCCTGCTTGTTTATAGCCTCGTACAGTTCGTTAAGGTTTCCTGCTTGTTTATAGCCTCGTACAGTTCGTTAAGGTTTCCTGCTTGTTTATAGCCTCGTACAGTTCGTTAAGGTTTCCTGCTTGTTCATAGCCTCGTACAGTTCGTTAAGGTTTCCTGCTTGTTTATAGCCTCGTACAGTTCGTTAAGGTTTCCTGCTTGTTTATAGCCTCCCTTTGCCTTAATCTTGCCCAAACTCCCCCTCTCTTACATTTACATTTTAGTCATTTAGCAGACGCTCTTATCCAGAGCGACTTACAGTTAGTGAGTGCATAC